TTCTTCTTCCTTGTCTTTTTTATTGCGCTACATTTTCTTCATTCACTAATAGTGCGCTTTTTCTAATAACGTTTTCTCTTTTTCTTTTCTCACAACCAGGTGTACCATTTCCGCCATCACACAGGATAACGATGGCCGAGACGTTTGACCCAAAGACGAACAAGCCTCGCATTGATGTTCTAAAGTACCATTTCATTCATGAAGGCCGTCTAGAAGAAAACGTTGCACTTCGTATCATTAACGATGGCGCTGCCTTATTGAGAGCAGAGAAAACGATGATCGATATTGAGGCCCCGGTAACTGGTAAGTGCTCAGGCCACTGCTTCCTGTTCTTCATTTTGTCCAGTCTGTTCGCCAGTGGGCGGATCGTCAATTTTTTGCCTACTGAGACCGTTCATTGTGGCCATCGATTTTGTTTGCTAATATACCCTCTTCTTTCCCTCTTTTTCCACCAGTTTGCGGTGATATTCACGGCCAATTTTATGATCTAATGAAACTATTTGAAGTTGGTGGCCACCCATCAACAACCAAGTATCTCTTTCTCGGTGACTACGTCGACCGAGGATATTTCAGTATCGAGGTAATGTACTCTGGGAACGATGGCAACAACAATGCAGCCAGCAGCAGTTCAGTCCACCTACCACTACTACTTTACTAACCACTTTTGTTTCCTTTTTAGTGCGTTTTATATCTTTGGTCACTGAAGCTCTGCTATCCGAATACACTCTTCCTATTACGTGGCAATCATGAGTGTCGCCATTTGACAGAGTACTTCACATTTAAAACGGAATGTAAGTTTTTGGCTGAACTCTCTTTTTTTAGCACTATTCTATCTAGAGCGGAGCAACTCTTCTGTTTACTTGCTGATTTGCTTTATTGGCAAGACGGCCCTTTTCCACTGGGTGTAATTTACGAGCGCCTGGTCATTTTTTAATTAGCCCTCTCTAATGAGCTAGCTGACGCATTGCTTTCAACTGCAGCTGCTCAGTTGGTTGTTCAGGGAGTTTATTCGATTTATCTCTGTTGTTATAAATTTTGTCTATTTTTT